ATTTAATATGCATGTATTACTTCTTTGGGGAGACAAGAATGCTAATCATAAGATTTTTAAATTAATGATTTTGGATGCATGGATCAATACTAGAAAATTATTTAATATGTTTCCTGATGGTATAATTATGGTAAATATGAAAAAATAAGATATTTTTATTAATAAATATTTGAAAAAATTATGATGGGAGGAATTCATAAGAAGGTTGCCTTGAACAATCTTTTACAAATGAAAAATGTTCAATAATAAATTAATGATTTAGAAAAGATCAATTCATTATTTCAAGAATAATAAAATCATTTTTAATGAATAAGAATTTGATAACAAAACTTATTTAAAAAAGTACATTTAATGAATCTCTTATTCATTTTAATAATTTGAAAAAGTCAAAAACTTACTTGATCATTTTATTGAAAATTGACATCAAAAGAATTGAGTTCTCAAAATGTTATGTAAATTTCCTTAAAATGAGAAATCCTTTTTTTTTTAAGTAAGTTTTAAAAGCTTCGAGAATAAGTAATCAGAATTTATATTATTGATTGTAAGAAATATGACTTCAATTAATCGCGTTAGATTTTTATAAAGAGTTATAACAATTTCTTAAGTACATTTGTACTTGAATTTAAAACTTCACTTTAATCAATTAAGTTGATGGTCCAATAAATGTTATTTATGTGAAGTGAAGAAATGGTTTCAAAGTATTTATTGCCTATGTCATGTTAATTAGATTGTTTAACTAATAATCTAAGATTTAATGAATGTGTCAGTGTTAAATGTAGGAAAATTTATATTAGATATAAAATGATTAATCTTTATCAGAAACTTAAATTATAATGGTTGTAACCCATTCCTTGGTTACATCCTCACCACTTTGTTAGACTCTCGGGTGCTATCTCCGAGAGCGAGTAAGCAATAGGATTTTCCTACCTACACCTTCGTTTGACAAAGGGGACTAGATAATTATCTTTAGGGGACGTAAATCTATTGGGTCTAGGTGATGTTTCATCGTTTATATGTTTTAATTAATTCCAACCTGATTCCCAGGTAACAAAGCACTACAAAATCTAACCCTTTGAACCTTTCTCCAGGCAAGATCAAGCTTAGGAAGCAGATTAATAAAATGTATCTTTCTCCTACCTACCTGGGGAAAAAATTAAAGTTAACTTAATTTTAGATATATTATATTTTTATAAATATTATTATTATTAAATTTTTGAAGGATCAATAATTATTGTATATTGGATATGAAATTTATAATAAATCTATTTAAAATCTAAGAATATTTCTTTAGAATAATTTAGAATCGGTATTATTGAGGCCCTTCTAAATTGCATAATAACAATATTTTTGTGCTGAATCTAAATGTTTTAATTGATATAAAGTATTGGCTTAAAAATTTTAGTTTAGTAAATACCTTTACATTTATAATAATCTGCATTTTCTGGGTTTTTCTGAATAGCTTAATCATAATACTCCAATGCTTCTTAGAATCTATTCATCTTTTCTAAGGCAATAGCTAAGAAAATATACAACATTGATTTAAACCTTTGCCATTATAAAAATCTGCATCTTCTGGGTTTTTCTGAATAGCTTAATCATAATACTCTAATGCTTCTTCAAATCTATTTAACTTGAATAAGGTAATCGCTAAGAAAATATACATAAATAATTTATACCTTTACATTTATAATAATCTGCATTTTCTGGGTTTTTCTGAATAGCTTAATCATAATTCTCCAATGCTTCTTCAAATGTATTTAAGTTGAATAAGGTAATCGCTAAGAAAATATACATAAATAATTTATACCTTTACATTTATAATAATCTGCATTTTCTGGGTTTTTCTGAATAGCTTAATCATAATACTCCAATGCTTCTTCAAATCTATTTAACTTGAATAAGGTAATCGCTAAGAAAATATACATCATTATTTTATACCTTTTCCTTAAAAATAATCTGCTTTTTCTGGGTTTTTCTGAATAGCTTAATCATAATACTTCAATGCTTCTTCAAATATATTCATATATCCTAGATTATCAGCTAAAATGATAATACTTTAATTGTACCTTTGCCATAATAATAATCTGCTTTTTCTGGGTTTTACTAAATAGCTAAATCATAATATTCCAATGCTTCTTCAAATCTATGAATGTTCTTTAAGGCAATCGCTAAAAAAATATGCATCATTATTTTATACCTTTTCCTTAAAAATAATCTGCTTTTTCTGGGTTTTTCTGAATAGCTTAATCATAATTCTCCAATGCTTCTTCAAATCTATTTAACTTGAATAAGGTAATCGCTAAGAAAATATACATAAATAATTTATACCTTTACATTTATAATAATCTGCATTTTCTGGGTTTTTCTGAATAGCTTAATCATAATACTCCAATGCTTCTTCAAATCTATTTAACTTGAATAAGGTAATCGCTAAGAAAATATACATCATTATTTTATACCTTTTCCTTAAAAATAATCTGCTTATTCTGGGTTTTTCTGAATAGCTAAATCTTAGTACTTCAATGCTTCTTCAAATCTATTTAACTTGAATAAAAAGTGAGCTAAGAAAAAATATATCATTTATTTATACCTTTTCCATAGAAATAATCTGCTTTTTCTGGATTTTTCTGAATAGCTACATCTTAATACTTTAATGCTTCTTCAAATCTATTCATCTATTCTAAGGTAATCGCTAAGAAAAAATACATAAATAATTTATACCTTTACATTTATAATAATCTGCATTTTCTGGGTTTTTCTGAATAGCTTAATCATAATACTCCAATGCTTCTTCAAATCTATTTAACTTGAATAAGGTAATCGCTAAGAAAATATACATCATTATTTTATACCTTTTCCTTAAAAATAATCTGCTTTTTCTGGGTTTTTCTGAATAGCTTAATCATAATACTCCAATGCTTCTTCAAATCTATTTAACTTGAATAAGGTAATCGCTAAGAAAATATACATCATTATTTTATACCTTTTCCTTAAAAATAATCTGCTTTTTCTGGGTTTTTCTGAATAGCTTAATCATAATACTCCAATGCTTCTTCAAATCTATTTAACTTGAATAAGGTAATCGCTAAGAAAATATACATCATTATTTTATACCTTTTCCTTAAAAATAATCTGCTTTTTCTGGGTTTTTCTGAATAGCTTAATCATAATACTCCAATGCTTCTTCAAATCTATTTAACTTGAATAAGGTAATCGCTAAGAAAATATACATAAATAATTTATACCTTTTCCTTAAAAATAATCTGCTTTTTCTGGGTTTTTCTGAATAGCTTAATCATAATACTCCAATGCTTCTTCAAATCTATTTAACTTGAATAAGGTAATCGCTAAGAAAATATACATAAATAATTTATACCTTTTCCTTAAAAATAATCTGCTTTTTCTGGGTTTTTCTGAATAGCTTAATCATAATACTCCAATGCTTCTTCAAATCTATTTAACTTGAATAAGGTAATCGCTAAGAAAATATACATAAATAATTTATACCTTTTCCTTAAAAATAATCTGCTTTTTCTGGGTTTTTCTGAATAGCTTAATCATAATACTCCAATGCTTCTTCAAATCTATTTAACTTGAATAAGGCAATCGCTAAGAAAATATACATCATTATTTTATACCTTTTCCTTAAAAATAATCTGCTTATTCTGGGTTTTTCTGGATAGCTAAATCTTAGTACTTCAATGCTTCTTCAAATCTATTTAACTTGAATAAAAAGTGAGCTAAGAAAAAATATATCATTTATTTATACCTTTTCCATAGAAATAATCTGCTTTTTCTGGATTTTTCTGAATAGCTACATCTTAATACTTTAATGCTTCTTCAAATCTATTCATCTATTCTAAGGTAATCGCTAAGAAAAAATACATAAATAATTTATACCTTTACATTTATAATAATCTGCATTTTCTGAGTTTTTCTGAATAGCTTAATCATAATACTCCAATGCTTCTTCAAATCTATTTAACTTGAATAAGGTAATCGCTAAGAAAATATACATCATTATTTTATACCTTTTCCTTAAAAATAATCTGCATTTTCTGGGTTTTTCTGAATAGCTTAATCATAATACTCCAATGCTTCTTCACATCTATTCATCATTGATAAGACAAAAGCTAAAAAAATATTCCTAATTAATTTATACCTTTACATTTACAATATTCTGCATTTTCTGGGTTTTTCTGAATAGCTACATCTAAGTACTTTAATGCTTCTTCAAATCTATTCATCTATTCTAAGGCACGAGCTAAAAAAGTATACATAATTAATTTATACATTTTCCAATATAATAATCTGCATCTTAAGGGTTTTTCTGAATTGCAAAATCATAATATTCTAATGCTTCCAAAAATCTATTCATCTTTTATAAAAAGTAAGCTAAGAAAAAATATATCATTTATTTATACCTTTTCCATAAAAATAATCTGCTTTTTCTGGGTTTTTTTGAATAGCTAAATCATAATACTACAATGCTTCTTCTAATCTATACATCTTTTCTAAGGCAAGAGCTAAAAAAATATATATCATTAATTTTTACCTTTGCATTCATAATAATTTGCATTTTCTGGGTTTTTTTGAATAGCTGTATCATAATACAACAATGCTTCTTCAAATCTATACATCTTTTCTAAGGCAATAGCTAAGAAAAAAAAATCATTAATTTATACCTTTTCCATAAAAATAATTTGCATTTTCTGGGTTTTTTTGAATAGCTGTATCATAATACAACAATGCTTCTTCAAATCTATACATCTTTTCTAAGGCAATAGCTAAAAAAGAATACATAATTTATTTATACCTTTGCCATCATAAAAATCTGCCTCTTCTGGGTTTTTTAGAATAGCTTCATCATAATACTCTAATGCTTCTTAAAATCTATTCATCTTTTCTAAGGCAATAGCTAAGAAAATATACAATATTGATTAATACCTTTGCCATTATAAAAATCTGCATTTTCTGGGTTTTTCTGAATAGCTAAATCTTAGTACTTCAATGCTTCTTCAAATCTATTTAACTTGAATAACACAATGGCTTAAAATATATACAACATTGATTTATACCTTTGCCATTATAAAAATCTGCATTTTCTGGGTTTTTCTGAATAGCTAAATCTTAGTACTTCAATGCTTCTTCAAATCTATTTAACTTGAATAACACAATGGCTTAAAATATATACAACATTGATTTATACCTTTGCCATTATAAAAATCTGCATTTTCTGGGTTTTTCTGAATAGCTAAATCTTAGTACTTCAATGCTTCTTCAAATCTATTTAACTTGAATAACACAATGGCTTAAAATATATACAACATTGATTTATACCTTTGCCATTATAAAAATCTGCATTTTCTGGGTTTTTCTGAATAGCTAAATCTTAGTACTTCAATGCTTCTTCAAATCTATTTAACTTGAATAACACAATGGCTTAAAATATATACAATATTGATTTATACCTTTGCCATTATAAAAATCTGCATTTTCTGGGTTTTTCTGAATAGCTAAATCTTAGTACTTCAATGCTTCTTCAAATCTATTTAACTTGAATAACACAATGGCTTAAAATATATACAATATTGATTTATACCTTTGCCATTATAAAAATCTGCATTTTCTGGGTTTTTCTGAATAGCTAAATCTTAGTACTTCAATGCTTCTTCAAATCTATTTAACTTGAATAACACAATGGCTTAAAATATATACAATATTGATTTATACCTTTGCCATTATAAAAATCTGCATTTTCTGGGTTTTTCTGAATAGCTAAATCTTAGTACTTCAATGCTTCTTCAAATCTATTTAACTTGAATAACACAATGGCTTAAAATATATACAATATTGATTTATACCTTTGCCATTATAAAAATCTGCATTTTCTGGGTTTTTCTGAATAGCTAAATCTTAGTACTTCAATGCTTCTTCAAATCTATTTAACTTGAATAACACAATGGCTTAAAATATATACAACATTGATTTATACCTTTGCCATTATAAAAATCTGCATTTTCTGGGTTTTTCTGAATAGCTAAATCTTAGTACTTCAATGCTTCTTCAAATCTATTTAACTTGAATAACACAATGGCTTAAAATATATACAAAATTGATTTATACCTTTGCCATTATAAAAATCTGCATTTTCTGGGTTTTTTAGAATAGCTTCATCATAATACTCTAATGCTTCTTTATATCTATTCATATTTACTAGATTATCAGCTATAATTATATAACTTTATTTTTACCTTTGCCATAATAATTATCTGCTTATTCTGGGTTTTTCTGAATAACTGAATCATATTATTCTATTGCTTCTTCAAATGTATTCAGTTTATCAATGTTTGCTGCAATTATAAAAAATTATACCATCTTAATAACATTCAAGATTGTAAATTTTTTTCTTGGTATATGAATAATTAATTTCAATCGGAATTTTTTAAAAATCCATTAATTGTTTTCTATTAGTTTTTTCCAAGTTTTCAAATTTTATTTTATTTTTCTTTGTGTTTTGCAGTTTTTTTTTGTTACATTTTACATTCAAATCATGTGTTATAACTTTTTATTTACAATACATAATAAGAATTTATTACCATATGTCAGCTATTGTAATTATTCTTGTTTGATTAAAATTTAATGTTTCATAAAGCTTAAGAGTATGCGAAAATTATTTATGGAGGCTTAACATGACTTACATGCATTAATCAAAATTTTTGATCTTGGACTCATTTTCATCAAATTAAATCATTAATTATAATTAAAAATATACTATCTTTTTAAAGAGTTATTTTAAGAGTCTAAAAAGAACATAATCTCCATATTGAAATTTTATGTTTTGATAAAGATTCAAGAGACTATTGATTTTGAATCATGAATGGATAACAGCAGCATTATTTAATTTACATAGATATATATTAATATTTACAAAATCCATTTATTATTATATTTGAAAAGTCATTATCACAAAATAACAGAAAATAAAATAAAGGACTAAAATGTTTTGAAAATCTCCTGTAGTTATTAAAATGATAAATCATGAATCGATTAAGTTTTTAAAAATCTATTAATTGAGATTTTAAGACAGCATTAAATCTCTATTTATTATTATTCATGCATAATCTTATTAAAAAACTTAAGATTAGCAAAATTTGTTTTGGTATAAATTAAATAAATAACATTTAAGAAAAGCAGAAGATATGAAATTTTTTCCATAGTTCTAATTCCTCTTTATTATTGGTATTGATTTTTTTTTCATTTAATTGTAATTTGGATAATAGTTTATACAATTAATGTCTTCAATTCTAATCTCTTTTTTGTAATAATTGAAAATTATCTATTTTTTCATAAAGGCATTCAACAAAATTTTCCCTTCAATACTTTTGTAGAATCTGTAAACGTTATTTATTTTCCATACTTTATGACGATAAGCTATAGATATTTTGATAACTATTTTTTCTCTCTAGAATTAGGTCGAAAGACAAGGAAGAGATATTGACATCTAAATTTCTCAACAATCCTTAATATATTTCTAAAAAAAGAGAAACTATATATTAGACCCATTTTTTTTGATATATTCTGTTGCAGCTTTGATAATAAAATAAAGTGATTTAGATAATAAAAGTAGTTTTAAAAAATAACTGATTTGACAAGAGCACTCTTAAAATAATCTAAAGTGTAAAATTTTGAAGAAACTCAATTATAAAATGAAAGTAAGAGGATAAATTAAAGAAGATAATTATCAGCAATAGTTTAGGGTAGAAAATAGATAAATGTTAAATAATGGACTAAAAACATTTATAGTTATTTAAATTAAATGAATCTAGCTTAAGTAACATCATTACAGAGAATTAGCTTAATATAAGAAATATTTTTGATTATGGAAGTAACATACGAAGTTTAGGAAGAAAATGGAAAGACTGATAGAACAAGAATTGCACTCATTGATTATAAGAGAAATTAGAAGTTAAAAATAAATGAATACTTGTGATTTCATCATTATTTGATTATCTCCCTACTTAATATTCTAGCCTTGTTTAGCAGTTAAGCGCATAAGAGAGGATTATTAAATAATACTTCATTGAACATATTGTATGATATTTATTCCTGGAATTTCCAAAACAACCTGATATATCTATTCATATAATGAATTGAAAGAAAAAAAACTAAAATCTACAAAAATTCAAATAACAGGAAAGAATGGAGTATATTGAAGGTGGATAAATTTATAAGACTTTTCATCCCTATCTCAAATTCTTGAAATTGGATGATATATCGAATTTGATAAAGCATGTATTGGCTTCAGTTATAATATAATATTTCCGTTTTATTAGTAATGGCTGTTATGAAATACTTTCATTCTTTTTTTAATTTAATTGATTATTATAAAATGACAAAGTAAGTTAGGTTTATTATTGTATGTAATATTGGTATTTTTTATTTACTTTTAAATATTATTAACGAAATAATTATCCGAATTATTTGATATCCAAAAATGAGCAACAGGATATTTGTTCAACTTGATAAATTAGAAATTTTTTAAATTAAAATTTAGTAATAAACTTTCAAAACTTTTTTGTAATCTGTAACTAGCATTACAATTTGTTTGAATCTAAATTTCAAACTATCTTTGGCAAATTGAATGTTCATGAAGAATTAAAATTCTCTAAAAATTTTTGATACAAAATTTCACATATATAAGTAAAAGGTCTTGGTTTTTATTGACGAAAAAGGTAGAAAATTCTACATCCAATTGAACAAACCGTATTCATCATATTTAACTTTTATGTATTATTATTGTCTGATTAATTTTCACAAAACAATATGTTTTACTAAATTCTATAAAAGAATTCTTAACTGGATTCTTTTCGAATTATTATTTATTAGCTGTTGTGAATAGTGATTCCTTAATTTGGTTTATATATATTTAAAAACAACTTTAAAAAACTTGTATACATTTCCTAGTAACACTCTTGTAGAATAAAATGTCTAACAGTTTAAAGCAATTTTTTCAACTTTTGCTTAACTTGTTTTTACTGGGAATATTTACAGAAGGTTAATAAAGAATCGATTTCTTTTATACATAATTCACCAAATTCCTTTTCAATTATATCTAAATCTTTTCTTTCTAAATCAATCATTTATTCTTTTAAAATTAACCTAAATATAAGATTCTCTAAAACCCCTTTTATGTTGATAAATTATTTTAATAGTCTTGTTCAGTAATTTATAAATTAGATAATTCTGCAATAGTTAATTCTTCAATAGAATTGTCACAGCAAATTATTTATTTTGGGTAATTCTTAATTANAATCTAAAGTGTAAAATTTTGAAGAAACTCAATTATAAAATGAAAGTAAGAGGATAAATTAAAGAAGATAATTATCAGCAATAGTTTAGGGTAGAAAATAGATAAATGTTAAATAATGGACTAAAAACATTTATAGTTATTTAAATTAAATGAATCTAGCTTAAGTAACATCATTACAGAGAATTAGCTTAATATAAGAAATATTTTTGATTATGGAAGTAACATACGAAGTTTAGGAAGAAAATGGAAAGACTGATAGAACAAGAATTGCACTCATTGATTATAAGAGAAATTAGAAGTTAAAAATAAATGAATACTTGTGATTTCATCATTATTTGATTATCTCCCTACTTAATATTCTAGCCTTGTTTAGCAGTTAAGCGCATAAGAGAGGATTATTAAATAATACTTCATTGAACATATTGTATGATATTTATTCCTGGAATTTCCAAAACAACCTGATATATCTATTCATATAATGAATTGAAAGAAAAAAAACTAAAATCTACAAAAATTCAAATAACAGGAAAGAATGGAGTATATTGAAGGTGGATAAATTTATAAGACTTTTCATCCCTATCTCAAATTCTTGAAATTGGATGATATATCGAATTTGATAAAGCATGTATTGGCTTCAGTTATAATATAATATTTCCGTTTTATTAGTAATGGCTGTTATGAAATACTTTCATTCTTTTTTTAATTTAATTGATTATTATAAAATGACAAAGTAAGTTAGGTTTATTATTGTATGTAATATTGGTATTTTTTATTTACTTTTAAATATTATTAACGAAATAATTATCCGAATTATTTGATATCCAAAAATGAGCAACAGGATATTTGTTCAACTTGATAAATTAGAAATTTTTTAAATTAAAATTTAGTAATAAACTTTCAAAACTTTTTTGTAATCTGTAACTAGCATTACAATTTGTTTGAATCTAAATTTCAAACTATCTTTGGCAAATTGAATGTTCATGAAGAATTAAAATTCTCTAAAAATTTTTGATACAAAATTTCACATATATAAGTAAAAGGTCTTGGTTTTTATTGACGAAAAAGGTAGAAAATTCTACATCCAATTGAACAAACCGTATTCATCATATTTAACTTTTATGTATTATTATTGTCTGATTAATTTTCACAAAACAATATGTTTTACTAAATTCTATAAAAGAATTCTTAACTGGATTCTTTTCGAATTATTATTTATTAGCTGTTGTGAATAGTGATTCCTTAATTTGGTTTATATATATTTAAAAACAACTTTAAAAAACTTGTATACATTTCCTAGTAACACTCTTGTAGAATAAAATGTCTAACAGTTTAAAGCAATTTTTTCAACTTTTGCTTAACTTGTTTTTACTGGGAATATTTACAGAAGGTTAATAAAGAATCGATTTCTTTTATACATAATTCACCAAATTCCTTTTCAATTATATCTAAATCTTTTCTTTCTAAATCAATCATTTATTCTTTTAAAATTAACCTAAATATAAGATTCTCTAAAACCCCTTTTATGTTGATAAATTATTTTAATAGTCTTGTTCAGTAATTTATAAATTAGATAATTCTGCAATAGTTAATTCTTCAATAGAATTGTCACAGCAAATTATTTATTTTGGGTAATTCTTAATTATTATCAGTTAAAAAAAAGAATTTTTTGTTTATTTGAAAAGGATTTTATTTAGAAAATTATAAATTATGAATTTCTGAATTTCAAATTCTAATTATCCATATCTTTGCCTGCAAATCATTTTTGATTCCCCTATTTATTGAAGTTGAGATCTAATCTCCATGGAAGATGATAATGATATTCTTATATTTTTTTCTTGCTCTTACTTGTTTTAAAATTTTGAAAATGGAGTTTATAAGTCAAATTTCTCCCAAACCAAGTAAATATCTTTAAATGAAATTGATTTGGCAACCATAGTAAAAGATATTCTTCTCAACTTTTCCCATTTGTCTTACATGATCTTTGTCTAATTATACTTAATCAGTGATACACATTGAAAAAGTGGTCTAAAATAAGTGAACCATAACTAAGTTATATGTATAAAAGGTATCAGTTTATTAAGAGGCCTTAGTTGACTAATTAGGTCATAAACTATTGATTTTACATGAATAAATTATTTATTAATTGCATCTAAGTAAACGAGCAATGATTTAAAGTATTTTTCTTTTAAGACTAGTCCAATAGGGTTTCTATACTTTCAATTTAGATAAATTCTAGTTTTACTTAGATTTATCTTGGAACTTTATATTTCTGCTTTTTGAATAAAAAAGTAGTCACCTCATCCATAATTTTACTATAAAACACTATTTTAAGTATGTTATTGGATTTTTCCTATTCCCTTTTAAAGTTTTTCAAGTCTTGAACCATTTATGTAAATGTCATATAAGAAGACAGCCAATAATAATTCTTAATGTACTCAATTTTATAGTAATTGTTCTTTTCTTATAGGGTCAAATATTTATAAAGATTGTAAATCCAATCTAATATCTCTATCCTCAAATATTATTTATTTTTCTATTATTCACTCAAATATTAGATAGTCTGTCTCAATCAAACCCAATAATAAGAATTTTTGAGTCAAGAAAATTACAAAATAAATAAATTGTATGATAAATTCTGATTTAAATTGAAAACCAAAAAAATATTAACTAATTTAATTTATTGATTTATCTCACATCCAAATTCTAATTGATTATTAATATAATTCTACAACGGGATATTAGGTTTACTCTGACTTTATCATGGAGAGAAAGAATGAAAAATTCATCTCCAATGAATAGGTTTACATCAAATCTTATAATCACATAATAAATCCTTGTTATTGATATTTTTTTTGAGGATTTCCTAGTTTGATTTTTACTTCATTTTTTCTTTTAATATGATTATTGATTATTATTCATTAGCCTTTCATGTAGCTGTTCTTGAAAATTTCAGTTTGTTTCCTATATTTTATTTTCCAGAATGTTTTCTTTCGAGATTTCCAATATTTTAGCAATGAAAAGGTTACAATTTAGACTTAATTTTAGTTATTGGTCTGGAAAAAGATTTTCATTTGATTAAAAAGAATTATATTGATGTTAAATAATAATTAAATCATAATAGCATGTGAATATACATAGAATGAGTTTTAAATAGAAATTGAATTGAAAAAACAATTTTCTTGAATTAAAAAAAAAACAAATAATGTTGAGAAATGACATCGCATAATGATACCAAAAAAAAATTGCATCTAAATGCCATATTCACTATAATAAATTTTTTATCTTGAATTCAAAATAAGAAAATAAACTCAAAAATACATTAAATGGAGAAAACGAAATCGCTCGTTTTTTCAGAAATCAAAGGATCTAAAGTAATCTAAAAGGCTTTTAAATCAATATATTTAGGAATACATGTTTTCAAGAGCAAACTAAGTAGTTTGTTTGTGGAATCCTTGCATACAGCTCTTGTGTTTTACTTGCCTGCTCTGACACCATCTGTAATAGCCTTTTAATATTTGTTGAACTTGACTTTCAGTAAATATTTGAGACTATGAAATTATTGAATGAAAATTTGTCAACTATTTAGGAAAGCAGGTAAAATGAACTGGAAAAACTAGCCCAGAAAATTACTCTCTCTAGGCTTCTCTAGTTATAGTTTGCCTGAAAAGAAATGGCTTCTTAAAGCATTGTTCCAACTTAAAGACACGAATGATATTTTGAAGAAATATTTAGACTCAGACTTTGTAGTTCGGTTGAAGAATGATTTAAAATTTCCAAATTATTGATATCTTCGCATCTTAAAGGATTAGACACCTCATTTGAAAGAAAGGAATCTTTAAAATTCTAAAAAGGACATAATAATAAGTTTTAGGGAGGAAAAAGACTTCAAAGAAAGGGTGAAAAATAAATTAATCAGAAAATAACAGAATCCGAAAAAGATGAATAAAAGATAAAGGACTATTTAGTTAAAGTCAACCAAATGACCCAGCAGCCGTAATGGTCATTCTCCAAGGCTCATATTTAAAAAAAATGAAATAATGAAATGAAAATTAATATTTTATTTATATCATAAAGAACTATAATTATGAAAGTCTGTCTTAAATATAATGATAATAATTTTAAAAAATACTCGTTAGTAAAAAATTGAGTATACTATTGTATCAATAGAAATAACATTTAAGTTTGTTAATATTGATCCTTTTATTTTATTAGTGAAGCTTTTTACAATTCAGGTTCTCATAATGAAAAAATATAATAGTCTAATTGAAGAATTTGGTTAATTTTCACTTCAATACTGTATAAATTTCAAACTGCAAAAAAAGAATCTTAACAACATTTCAAAGTCATGAGACTTAGATCATAAACAGAATCTATCACCTACTAAGCAGACTTAAATTTTGCTTCAATTAGCGGATGAATATTCCAACAAGCAAACCACAAAAACAAAAGATTAACAATCATAAATTATAAGGATTAAAAACTAAAATCACAGTTCAATACATACTGATTCTATAATTAAATAGCTTAGAATTGCAAAATTTGAGTTTAGCAATTAGAGTGTTATAATGCTTCTTAATTTTCAGTAAGAATGCATAATTAATTAACAGAATTGGGAAAAAATATTGGAGCAGATTCGACTTGTTGCATTCAGTAGACTTTTTTAAGTAGTCAGAAAGATATTTTATTTTTATACAAAAAAAAATAATAAATTCTATAATGAATTTGTCATTCTTGTTGTAAAATAGTTTCTTCTCTATTTATACAATTTTTTTTCTGTTTACGAATAGATAATTTTCCTGTGGTATGAATTAACTTTCCTTAATATAGTTAAGAATATTTTGGAATGATCTAGCTAACCGAAATTATCCATAAATCTAAGTCAGCATAAGGTAGAGTTTAAGTTTTAAATGATCTTTGATTATTAATATTATTTTTAGAGAACAACAGCATTCGAATATTTCTGATATTTATAATTAATAATTACATCTTGAATTGAATTCTTTTTTTGAAGATACTTTTTAAACTCTTAAGATATATTAAATAAAGATCTATTATGAACAAGTGGACGAAAAGAAAAACTTATTCTAGATTCACAATTATTGCACATCAACCAATTATATTTATATCTATTGATAATATTAAACCTTGAGTCTTTTCCTTCTTAAATCGAAAAAAAAATCCTCTTATTTTTTATCAAGAAATTGTAATCATCCTTATTTCTGGTTATTTATTAGAGCATTTTACAAGGGGATTTATAATTTCATATTTTATCCATCAGAGAGTTTGTTAAAGTCTTAAATAATCCCAATATCAATTTCAAAAGAAATTCTTCAAAGTTAATCACATCAAGACAAAGTTTACTTATGCAGACAATTAAAAGAAACATATTCGATGTATCAACAAAGAAGATTGATAATTGATGATTAAGGTATTATTCACGATTGCTTTTACATCAGCATACGCTATAATCATGACTTGGCAATATTAAAATATTGTTTTTTAATATATAAAAAACCAATTTTTGAAAGAAACGAAAAACAGAAAAATATACTCACATTTATATAAACGATTTCTCTATTATAATAAAAACCTCACTAAGTTACAATTAATTTTCAAAATAAATAAATATTAAGCCATTTACAAAAAAATATTATTAGAAAAATTTTTGATTGTTGAATAAGTTATTGCAATTTACGTTTATATATAGATAAAATAAATATATAACTCTATTAAATCAATTCGGATGCTTTAAGAATTAGACTTCTGTCTTTTTTAGAGAGTATTTTTTAAATTGTGGGGTTGAATTAAGAGAATCTTCAATTTTATTAGTCTAATCTGATAATTTTTCAATGGTCTAACAAAATTCTAAATTATCTTTGTATATTCCATTTTAATTCTCAAATGATTATTCCCATGTTTTCATTAAATTGCCTATGATTTTTTATACAATATTCTATTACCTAAGAATTAAATAGATTCATTCTTAAAATATTCCAATGCTATTTAATGAGTAGTTTTAGCATTTTCAAAAAATTTCATTGTTTCAAAAGTAGCCATATTATCATCTTGCATTTTTATTTGTATGCTAAATTTCATGTCTAACAACACATTCTTTATCATTCAAATCAGATTTATAATTTCAAACTTAGATAAAAATCAAGAATTACTTAATCTTATTGAAAATTTTTTGTCTTGAATAGCAATTCTACATGAGTTAAATAAAGCTTTATCTCTTCAGATTATTGTTTAAATAAACCTATAACTGCTTTTGACTCAATTATTTCTAAAGTTTTATATAATTTTTCTACAGTTCCAATTTGTAAGTCTAATAGATAAATATTTCATTATACTAATTTATATTTCTTAGAGTAATTCGTAAATATCATTTAGTTTATCTAGCAATTTACTATGATCTTTGATGGATTTTTTTACTTTTTCTAATTCTTTTTTATCTTAATCAATCATTTTTTCTTTTATCCTTGATCATAATTTTGAAGTAGTTAGAATTATGCTAGAATTCATCTTAAATGAATTTCTCTATACTTTCTATCCTAACATACTCAAACTCTTTTTTTTCTTTACAATATTACAATATCTTAATAATGTTACTCTAACAGAATACTTATTATTAAAATGACTTGATAAACTCTGAATTTACAGTATTTTGAAATAGTTCTTCGTCTGTTTATTAAATGATTTCAGTGAGAGCACTAAAAGCCAAAACTTGATCCACCTTCTATTCTTATTTTTTGAGCCAATCCATTATATGTGGAAAAAACTATTCTAACAAATAATAACTATGATTACCTGATGCTTTTTTCCCTACTATTGAATTCCCGAGAGTCAAATAAGCAAACCAAATAATGAAAAATATTTCTTTTTTATTATTCTTTGGTAAAATAACGTATATATAATTTATAAAGTATAATTTTCTATTGGAAAAAAGTATATTATCGATAAGTTAATTACTCATTTTTTTGCTAATATATTTGACTTATTTCTTAAACTACCTGTCCAATCAATCTGAGTATTCTCCTTTCCCTTTTTCATTTTTTATTATAAAGTATTTATTTTTAAAACTTAGTTGTAAACAGATTCACTAGAATGGCCACTTAATTCTTTAAAAATTCTATCTTTCAAGGTGTCTTCTTACGATAATTATGATTTTTATTGATTCTGATTTAGTATATAAAATCTCTTTTGTTCAATTTGATCTACAGATGGCTGCTTTTTTCTTTATTTTGAATCTTGAGATTTGTTGATAGTGTTTAAATCATATTGATCTAAGAAGATAATCAGCTATATTACTTTTTTAATGATTATGAATTTTAATAGATTGTGGCATGATGGATTAACTTTTCTAATGAATCAAAGGTGTTATTTCTAAATTTTTAGGTTGTTCAACATTTTATGCATTCTCATTAGCTAATTTTACTATTTCTTTTACACTGAACTTTTCTTAAATTTACTATTACTAATTGATCACAATTGGCTACTCATTCAAACTTACATTATGACTATTGATCTATTAATTTATCTATGATTATTGATCACAATTCTGAATATTTGTGTGATTCCAACTTTCTGGAGTATTTGAGTTACTCTCTCTTCTTGAATTTTAGATTGTAGAAATTGGGTTAGATCCATTACTTTTATAAATTGGCAATTTGGATATAGGAGATGGAGGATTTTAGCTATTGCTATCTTTAATTGTGTTCGAGAATGTGCTTTAGTAGATATCATCATTTTCTAAGATATCCAATACTTTCATATCGATTGAAGGATTGTTAAAATTGATCGAGTTATTTCTAGATTTAATTGATTAAGATGTATCATTCAACAAAATATTGTAGCACATTTTATTCATAAAGGTTAAAATGGAAGATTATTCAAATTAATTGATTTTTACACCTGACTCTAATTTCATTTCAGATAATAATTGTTAAATACTTCTTACTCTCTTTTCATATCTTTGCATAATATCTTCGAAAGGCTTCATTTCCATCTTTTTGACAATATTTGTATGATTTTTATCAATGTCAATTTAATATTATTATAATTGTTTCTCATAATTTGTCACAGCTTATTAGCAATCTAATATATTCTATTCTAAGCTTGAGTGATCATGTTAAAACTTTTGTATATATGTTTATTTTAATTATTGAGCTGTTTCAATTACCTATTCAAAAAATTTTATGCAATTTATTTTTTAATCTTCAAGCTGTTACTTTTGGCTAATTTAAAGGTTATTTAAGCATATTATTTTTGAATTGCAAACTAATAAGGCTTATTTCATCATTTCTTAAAATTAATTAATTCTCATTTGTCTTTATAATTCTAATTCTGCTACAGCACTTTCTTCAATTCTATGACCTTTCAGGGCTAAATTCAAGGCACATTTAGAACAAAATAAAGTTCGATTATCATTTTAGGCATAATATTTAGCCTATTAATAAAAATTGTAATGGCTTTATACTTTTTTATTTGGATGCTTTAAACAATTCAAATGAGAGTTGGCTTTCTATTTAAAAATATTTGAATTCTTTAATATTCTGTCTTATTCTTTAGCATTATAAGATGATTCTTCTTCTGAACTTGATGATATTGCTAAATTCATTAATTCTGTTAAAAAAAATAATAAAATAGTTTATAAATTAATTTTGATGTTTATAAAAGAACTTAATATAATTATATCCTTTCAATAAGCTAATTTCTTGACCTCCTAACAATTATCGTATTTTATTCCTTAAAAATTTGTATTGACTAACTATTTTCAAGATAAAAAAAATTATATAACATTAATTTGATAATAATGTAAAAACTTTTTTTTATTACAATTATTATACTTATGGGAGTTTGTAAATTTAGCTAAACAATTATTTCAAGTTTGCATGGAAGTTTTCAACTCCAGGATCCACCTCACAATTTAATTCACTAAGAAAATATTTCTCCTTAATAGATATAAAATTCAAAAAGATTACCATCTAATGAATTTCAAAACTAATTTAATTTTGATCAAAAACCAAAAAATTGATAATAGCATCAGATTCTTTTCAAGTTGACAAAAAATATATTTAATTCTGAAAATATACAATAGGCATTATTGGAAAATTAAATTAGCCCAAGTGTTAATCTGTAGTTTATAGATGAAAAGAGTAAAACCATATTGTAGAACAATGATGTCATGTATGATGAAAATACTGTTCCATACGCAGTGTGTATAGGAATCTGATGTTGGATAGTTATCCTCCTTTAAGTACTATAAATTCACATAATAATTAGATAGCTGCTATAAGCCATGCTTTTATTTAGAGTAATCTAAATTTTTTTTTAAACACAAAAGGATAATTAAAATATTATTAACATAAAATAACACCCTAGAATTCTTAAAATGATAGATTCAAAATGTATGTTTATAATATCATATAATATAATTTGAATGAATATATAGTTCAGGCTTGATCTTATTCTGGCTAAGGCAAGGCAGATTCATATTTTTCATAGATTTATTAAGCAATATCTAAATGCTTTTATTTTTCCTCCTCTTTAGTATAGAAGGCAACTTCAATAAACTTCAATTTATTTTCATATCTTTCTTTTCTTTTCTGTTTCTATTTTAGTAAATAATTTTAGTGAACTAATTTATAGATATTTTCTGCCCATTATGTTATTACCTTTTATTGTTCGTTACAAAATGGTTTATCATCTTCTAAAATACTCTTTAGGTCTTCTCTATTTGCTAAACCCATAATTAATGGTTCTTCCAGTAATCTAATTAATCTCACTTCTGCTACATCTTCAGGCAATTAGTAATTATCAGATAATAATGGTCCTAAAGGTCTAGGATAGGTTTTATATTTAGAGGGTAAATGAGATTAATTACCAAGTTTTGAAAACCATTTAGATTTTAGAAGATCCATAATTATTTAATACATTAAGCTTCCTACTATATAACAATTTTATTCAAATAGCTCTTTTTTTTTAACTCTATCTGGAAATTCAGCCCAAGGCTTTAATATAATTCTGAGAATAAACACTCTTATTAAAATTAAAGATATCAATAAACATTATGCTTTAATATCAGTCATATTAACTAATTAACCAAAATGAGTAAAATTGAGTCTATTTATTTCAAAAAGAAACAAAAAGTTTTAAATAGGAAATTCATAATCATGAAGTATTGATCCCAAAAAATCAATGGTTTCCGGCTTAATATCTTTTGCATTAAAATTCGAAATCAAAGTTTGGAACAATTTTTTGGTTTGAATTTTAAGATTTTATACTCTCTATTTCATTTCTGCTTCTAAGATTTTTCTCTTATCAGAAATATTCAAATTATCTTTATTACTAGAAAACTGAACTATCACTTTTGATGAATTTTTTTAAAACATTTCTAAAAAGTTTTATAAACATTTAATAGCCTATTCACCTTTCTAATTCAAAGCCATTTATTTCCTGCTCTCTATATATTTTCTTAATCTATAAAAGTATAATGCTATGTATATAAATTAATCTCTAAAAATTTTGAAATTGATCTTTGCCCACTATCTAAGAATATTAAATATATATTTTACTCTTTTGTCATTCCAGGTGGCTTAAATCTTTTTCTTTAGTATTATTTTGCTTATTCTAGCTCTTTCTCTTTCTATTCTTTTTCATTTTTCAAATTTATTTCAAAGTTCCCCATATATTTTTAATCCATAGATGCTTTTTACTGTTCTTGCTCACTTTTTTCTGGTCCCCAAACATCATCAATTTGCTTATTAATTGTATTAGCCAATCCCATTCTTTAGAATTTATCGTATTCAGTTATTTTGTCATCTGTTTACACTTCTATAGTTCTTTTGGAAACATCATTTTTAAAACCATAGAGTCTTTCATTTTCTTTCTGTGGAATTTCAACAGCTTATCTTTATGGATATGGTTAAGCATATGGAGGATAATGAATACTACTCATCTACTAAGAATAATATTCTAATGGTTTTAAAGTTATTGATTTTAATTAAACATTTATAGGTTTTTGATTTGGCTTTTAAATATATTGTTGATATTATTAATTTTATTAATATTGTTGCATTTGTTATTAATATTGTTGTTAATACATTAATTAATTGAGCATCATGTTCTAGTCATATATCAGCTATTACATGGATAAATATTATTGCCTCTATAGTAATCGTCTATCATTTAAAATATATGTTACCTCTTGTAATCTTCTTCCAATACCTACTATTAATTGAAGGCAGGTACATTATTATAGGTGTTCATCGATTAATAACCTACATTTTAAAATGTCTGTCGATTATTATAATAATTATTATTATTATACATTTTTAATAATGAATTTTTTTCGTTGCAATTGCACCAATATTGAATAGGGATTAGACTTACCTAATAGTAATCTCTTTATTGAACAAATTATCTTGCATTCAATCAATTAAGATGAGGTTATATCTTTAACAATGGATCTTAATATAATTTTGGAAGGAATCAAATTAAACAGGGAGAAGGATTGTCTTTTATTACAAGATCTCAAGGATTTCAAAGATGATATTCATTATACATTAACAAAATTGAATTGATACTTTTTGTAATTTATTGCAATTTATTATTTTAGAATCCCCTTAAACAATTAGGATGACAGTAGTTAATAATTTTATTTAAATTTAAAGTTATAAGTGTATGAAGGTTGTTATAAATTATTATACTAATATTTAAAAGACTTTTACTACCATAAGGATGACTTTCTCTATGGAGAATGGGAGATTATGGGAACAAGTCAGAATATTCAGATTGAATTCATATGTAATATTACTATTTATAATTGATTCTTAGAAGATAAGACTAATTAAGGGTAAAATAATCATTTACTTAGAGATCTTACAAATTGTGCTTAAAATCAATAAACAGAACATAATATAGAAGATGAAAACCCCAAGATTATGTATTCGATAAGTAAAACACCCAAACTAAAAAGAAAGTGCTGAATTAAATTACTAAAAAAAAAATAATTTTGATATAATTATCAATTATACTTAATCTATGCTCTGCTTGTTACCAAACTTTATGTAGGGTATATTGAGAGTGTTCTATCTGTTCTGGAAATAAAATCATAATGAGAATATCTTCTTAGTTTCATGATGCAATTAGAAATTTATTGAGAATTATGTTCTATCGATAAAAATCGTTCGCTTCGTTTTGATATTTGTGGCTTTTCTTAGATTTTTATGTTTGGTAACAATAATTGTCTTAACTTTATTTGGTTATTTTATTTTAATGGTTTTAAATATGGGAGTGGTTCATCTGTAAAAGTTGGTCTCTGTTATTTGGTACGCTTTTTAATAACATTTTTCGGTATAATTGATCGTTTTGGTTCAATTACATCCATAGGTTTAAAACTAAACATTGCACCCGTTTCAATTGTCTGTACAGCCTAATTTTTCATAGACAATAATAATTAATCATAATATTATGTAAATAATATAATTCTTGATCCAGTGAATATTTAAATTTTCACTAACCATCAAACTAGACTGAACTAATTTAAATAATTGATAAAATTTGTAGAAAAAGAATATTATCAATTATTTAAACATTTTTTTAATGTAAATTTTTCGTTAAATTATAAATTAATTCCATAGTTCCTTTATGTAATAAATTTTATACACAATATATTATTTAAATAAAATAAAAGTTATTTTAACTTAATATAAATAATGAATTTAAAACTAAATATCATATCATTACACTTAGATATCTTCTAAAAAATTATCAAACTAAAGATAATTATACTTATTACTAATTTCTATTTATTAATAACAATTTTGTATTAATTTATCACTTCATTTATTGTATTTTGATATGTTTATATGTATGATGTATTTTTTTAATAGCTTTTGAATTATCTAATATTCTAATTTTTTTCTTTTGTAATTAAAGTGTCATCAAAATTTTAGAATAGTGATTTTGCCTATGTAAATTCTTAATAAAATTTACTTTCTATCTATCTTAATATCTTACATTTTTGCTATTAATTTGGATTAATGTAGGAATTCTATAAATAAGAAACGAAAACATAAAAGAACAATTATTTATGGGGTTATTCTATATTATAATTTTTTGGATATAAGTTAAATCCTAAAATAGACTATTATGATCATACTTCTAATTAGATTAATTAACGAAGACTGTGTATATAATTATCCTTTAGGATTATTTCTTATAATCTTGTATACTCTTTAATGACTTATAATTAAGAGTAAATAATTGAATCAAAAAACACATATTAAAATTGAATTTTTTCGATTTTTTATCTAAAGTTATTAGCTGGCAGTACAATTCCTACAGCTGCTCCAAAAATTATTAAAGATGTATCCTAATATGATTTCAAGTTAAAATACATTTTCTACTTCTGCATGTCCTCCTTCTAGTATTTGATGCTCTAAACAACTTTTCTAGTTGAATTGATTTGATTATTCTAATTCTTGAATTCTTTTGATTTCTTAAATCCACTATCTTTTGATAATTGTTAATACTTTATCTTCATTAGCATTTACTTCTATAGCTTACTATTGTTATTAAATTGATTGTTATTAAATTGATTGTTATTAAATTGATTGATATTAATTTTTTTTGATCTACTTTCTTTTAAAAAAATCGAATGATAGAATTTCTTATTTTATCATATCTACTAATTTTTGATCCAATATTCTAAGTTATTTGTAATTTTAACAGATATATTGATAATAATCAGTTTTATTATATGATATTGGATTATTTTCTAAAGACAATTCTAATATATCAAATATTTATGGATATTGATTGATTTTATTTGAAGATAAGAATAATTTTTGCAATTTTGGGAGAACTAAAGCTTATAATTAAATTATTTACCTTAGATATGCTCAATGAATTCAATCTAATTTAAATTCAGATTTAATTCAATTAAAGAAGTTAAATCTTCTAAATTTTCCAATTTTTAGACCATATTGTTTCCTAAATTTAACACTTTTAAATTTTTCAATTTATTTAGACCTTTTAAATGGGTAATGTTGTTGCTATGTAAATCTAACACTTCTAATTTCTATAAAGAATCTAAATTTTGAATGTTTCTTATTTAATTTTTTGGTAATAACAGTACTTTTAATTTTTATAATTATTCTAACTCTTCAATATCCTTAATTTAATTATCATATAAATCTAGATATAATAAATTGGGTAAGGAAATTAAATTTTTAATTAATCCTATTCTATTGTGTTGTAAGAATAATATTTTCAAATTTTCCTCACCTTCGAACAATGGTATATGTTAAAGATCTAGATTATCTAGATTTAATTTTTCTGTATTTTCCTATCTCTCCTATGGTCTCCTATAGCAGATCCAAACACCTGGTATCTATTATAATTCAGAAAATATAATGTTGCCTCCATTTTCAATTTTTCTGGTTATTCCATTTTTTATTAAATATCGATATCTTATTAATCTAATAAATTAATACCTTTCATCTTATTCAATTGTAAAGATTTTTTACAACTCTTTTTATTGTCGAAGACCATCATTGTTATTGTTTATCTTTTATATATCTAGAAATTAATTTAAATTAGCTGCTTAATTCTATTATTAGGTAGCCTTAAGATTAGTTTTTTTAGTGATGTGAGTTTGAGAACTCTTAAGATGTCTTAAATTCTTATTTGGTGACATTGAGGATTTCATCTTCATTAATAAATAATAATACATTTGCATTGCGTGAGTCTTTATTCATTGAATTTTTAAATATAAATAATTTTAATCTATTTAATTATCTATAAAATATTATATATATTTGATGTCATATAAAATGACAGTTATAATAACTACTTTAAGTTTTTTTGTTTGATCAATCAAAGAAATATTTAATAAAAAAAAAAAAATAAGAAATTTTTATAAAATAATAGTTATTATACTTACATATTTCTGTTAAATTATAATCATGTAAGGACTCTTTACTACATAAATAATAATGAGACAGATTCTAATTTTTCGATATTCCTAATAAATTGAGTCAATAAAAGTTTTTAGAAGATTTCCTTCAAAAGAATTAGATAATGGATAGGGGATATAAAATAAATTGGATGTTATATATAAGTTATATATAGATCAAGATTTAATGTGATTATGGCATATCTTTCATATTGTTTATATAAATTACTTCAGCTATTATAGATTGCAATGATTCAATCAGCAACTCATCTATCTAAATATTAATATATATATAAATTACTAATGGAAAGATCTTAATCATGCAATTAGGATTGGCAGTTCTGATGTCTTGTTCAACATTAGTATCTCTTTATAATAGAATTGCTGCATTGAATACTTTATAATAACATTCTAAAATTTTTGTATAGTTAAGTTTATTACATTGAAAGAATGATGAATGCTTATTTTTGATGTTGTTTTAAATCCAAAAATGCAACCCAAATTGAGATTCATTAACTTCATACTCTTTATAGAAGAAATCAAAATCGAAAGTAAAGGATTTATTGGAAATATTGTCTGTAGTGATTGAGCGATTTCTATTTCGTTTCAATATTTTCAAGAATTCTTATTCATTGAGTTTTACTTTTGGAGAGTAGATGAAGATTTTCAATTAAGTAATATCCTCAACTCCCTCATCAGCTGGTATGAAATCAAAATTGAGAAAAGCTGATTCTGACAAACTTTTTTTTCTTTAGCTTTCTCTTATTTTTATTTGTCCAATTTAATCATATTTCTGTATTATATTTTATGGTTGTTAGTACTTTTAAATATTCTTCACAGGTTTAAGCATGCAAAGCTCCACTTCTTCTACGTCTTTCTTAAATTGGTTGTTTTTATTATTATTACATAACAAGAAATAATATATAAAATATGTTTAAAACACAATTATTCATTATTATTCATCATCATTTATTTTTGGAGCTAAATACAATTTTAATGATCCCATATTTTCAATTTAATATTCAATCACTAATGGTTAATCTTGAGACATAGATAAAATAACTTAAGGTGATAATGCAGCTGCTTTATTAAATAAATTGAAATATCTATAGCAAATAGAATGTGTATTGTATACCTAACAGCAAAACTTAAATTCACAGGTTCATCAACATCACATTCTACTCTTTCCTCTTTCTTTTCACCATCATTGGATTTAACTGAAACTTATCCTTCTCCTATATCTCCTTTTACATAAAATTTTATTCCATCTTTTGATGTTTCAATACCAATTGCTTCATTAATATTTCCTAACTCTCTACAGATCTTTGTAAATTCATTGGATGGCATTTTGATAACTGAAGAATAATCAGTATCTGGAACACCTAATTGTTCTTAATCCAAAGACATTAAATTTAATTAGAACTCACTTATGCGATCTAAAATGATTTTAATTTTATAAGATACTTTTTGATTCAAAAGTGAATGATAATGTTGTAGGTTCTTCTTCTTAAGTTCTAAGTGTAATCTAATCGTCATTTCCTGAACACTTCAAAATTTTTTATAAATTCTCAATGCTCAAACCCATAGTAAGAGATTTTTCACATCTATATTTTTTAAATCCTTTCTCATTCAATTATAATGCAACTAAAGCTACATGAGATGTATCCATAGCCTTAAAATAATTGAATTTTAATTATACTTATAATGAGATTCCTGTTCCATTAGCTTCAAGATTTACATTTTTAACCAATTCTTTAATTGCTTCTACAATCTTTTTAAATAAGACACCATCTTCAAACTTGGCTTCGAACATCTTATCTTTTTAATTATTTAAATAAATTATAGAGGGAAATATTAAAAACTTCAGATTTGCCGGGTAATTTAATTTATAATTTGCTGATTTATTTATATCCTATCATAAATTACTATATATTATAGATCAAGTTATCTAAAACAAATAAATCAATAATATGTAATTTTATCTAAATAATAACTTATTTCATTTATTCTATTTTATATCAAACCTAA